AACAAATATGTGACTTGAATGAGCTTTCTACCAACTGATGACTCTAAGAGTTGTCCAATTGTCGTTGTACACCTACGAACAATTTCATCTTTGAAAAATGGATGACTGGTTGCTTGAATACTACAGTGAATAACGGAGAACACGGCTTTCCTGAGGTGGTATAATTTAAAATAAATTAACTATCGAAATTTCCGTTTGTATGTTCTCTATAACAGAATTCAAAAACGACATCGTAATAGAGGATCACACAGAAGAGCACCGGAAGACTTCGTACGCGCTAAAAAATCAGTCTTATCACTACTCATTTGATAGACAAATACAAATAGTGAAGAAAACTTTCGACAAAATGCCAAGCATTGGATATATTTGTTAATTTTAATCTAAAACACGTTAGTATTCGAATATCTTCCAAAGGAGATAGTATGCTTCCATTGGTCAACTCAGTCAATTCATTCGTAGTACTGAATGAACACAGTAAATCTCTCAGTAATTGATTCCTATCAATATCCAATGTCAAGTGACAGTTCCATTTAGCTAAATGATCTCATTACATGCATACCGTGGTAGACGAATATGCATCAGCCCGTATAACTAACGAGATAGATTAGTTACCGATCTCAACTGATTAGCATACATTAGTAATAGACTTACAACCATGCCTAACTTTGATGTAATTTAGACTTTCGGCAATAAAGTACAACACATGAATCTTTATTCCTATGATTAACAAGCCTGCACATGTTCTACAAAGAAAAAAAGTATGTGACAAACTAATCTGATAAGAGATATGTGTAGTAGTATCCGGTATAATAACTAATTAGTTAATCGCCTGAATGACTGAAGATTATATTCCACTGTAATAAGTGTTTGAAAATTAGGGTAAAAATAATATAGAAATCTTCAACAGTAAAAATTACCGACTATTTTTGTAATCTAAGCTGTGAATAAATAATCTAGTCGCATGTAACTGAAAGCTTTTTTCGACTATCGTAATGATGAAAAATTGTGGTTTTCAATCATTCAGTTATACGTCTTATACTACTTAAATCAGTCTAGGTAGTCTGGTAATAGTTTCTGTCATCTTCAATAACTTCCATATGGTCCCTCGATTATTTATACTGTGAAGAATAAACGAAGAGACATAGCATGACTAATTTCTTTTTGATTATGCAAAGGTTATCCCATTGTCCACTATCAGACTTACTGATTTTGATTAGTTACCTCCTCTTAGGAAATTAAAACGACTTGATAAAATAAAGAATTATGCAGAATAAATTCGTTTTAACAGTTCTTCTCTGTTAAGGTTTCTTTGTTCTTCTTGTTTTTCGTCCTTTTGACCCAGTTAATGTGTGTGCGTATGTGTGCAAATATTTCCTCTTGTTATTTTCCTCAATGTTTACACTGAAATAATCAGTGAATTAGTTTATTCAGTAATCGATTTTTTTCCTGATTTTGAAATATATTAAAGCGAAATAATTAGCTGAGTGTATTTTTAACGCATCGAACACTGCATAATTGAACATAATACTAATGATTATAATCCATATAGGTATAAGGTTAGATGTTTACCCATGTAATTTAGTAGGTGGACAAGTGTTCGGTAAAAAAGCATTAGTTAATCACGATGACCTTGTGTATTTTCATCGGTTGAGGTTATCGCTGTATGTGTTACATGCATCTACGCAGCGTACTCCTCGGAAATCCGAAATAGGACTAGGTTGGTAAAGAGTTAGACATATTAGATAGTTGGAGGCAATTGACAGGAAGCCTTGCACCTAGGTTTCGTGCTAGTTGGCACTCATCAGCAAGGCGTATCTGCAACCTTGAAGGAACTCATGTCCCTTCTGAGATGTGGAATCAAGCTGTAATATAAAAAAAAGATTCGAACCCGCGTCACTCAGTGTTGCAGTCATAGACGTTACCACTGAACTATTCGGGCTCGCGATTGGCCTCCTGTAGGACTGTAGTGGGTAGTGAGTTAGACATAGCCAAACCAAAATTTGGCATCAGTCCACTTCATCTCTCTGACTGTTTGTCTGAGCCACATAGGAAAGTCATTGAGGTGATAAAATTGAATGGTTGGAGAATCTTTGAAATAGTTGAAAATGGTTTACAATGTCATGGCTTATTCACTTTCAGTTGTCTTCCAAATTATATATATATATATATCCTTCCAGTGTCAGCTGCTCACTAAAGCCTACTTAAGCTCCTAATAAATAATATGAAAGTGACTAACCAGTTTGTTATAATCAAGAGTATATACAATGTATGAACCCGAATGAAGATTTTTACAACTTCATGACCAATAACTGAGTTCATAAAAGTTCATTATATTACTAATAGTTACCTAGTACTATAGTTCCTTATTCATTATTTTCGTAATTGAGGTTATGGTAGGTTAATTCTGAAAATATCAATATTTATTCTTATCTTGAAGTTTATATTGCCTGTTTAATGTGTATATTATATATATATATATATATATATATATATATATACATATATATGTATACATATATATTATATATATATATATAAATCAAGAGATATTTATATATTCTTATGTACGTTATTGTCAGCGGAGAAGCAACCTCTTCGGAATGGTTGTTTTCTTGCTGGAGGTTATTCTGTACTTCTTGTGACCGTTTCTTAGAAAGTTAAGCCATATATCTGCGAATCGTATTTGCACACGTTAAGTCTGCTGTGATTGGTTGGTGAGTTACTCAAGGTTAAGCTTTGTTATAGTTTTTTCTCATGACCCCTATACTGGACGTAAATATTGACGTAAATTGTTGTCTACAATTTTGGCTTCCAGACAGCTCTCACCACACTACCACATGGAAGTGACTTCTGAAAGCTACTCTCATCACTAAATGACACATTCATCGTCCTTATGTATCCCATTGTACGTATTCTTGAGTTTTTATCTGGCTTTCTTGTCATTAATTTATTATTTATTTTATAGCTTTTGCAGAAGTCTTTTATGCTTCTCTTTTTATGTATACCCACTAACTGTGCGCTTATAAGTAGAGTTAACAAGTTTGGTCTTAGATCTGTTAACCTCTTCACTTGATGACTACATCAGTCCTTCAGTCTGTGACTATAATTTTTCGAACTTCACTTCAACTACGACCCCACCAACCATAATAGGATTATTACAAAATTTTGAACCAAGAACATTGCTTCTAGCTGCATGATATCAAGACTGATACTTAGATAGGCATTTGGATCCGATTATCAAGACCTTTCATCGGTTGAATATATATAATTCACCACATCAAATACCAGGTAATTGGCTAGTACGCATCGTAAGACTACTTAAGTATCTGCAGGTCATTGGTTTAGGCAGTTAACCTTCAACCACTAGGTCATAGGTTCGACCCTTTATCCACCTAGTGAAGTTTGTTAAACCAAGTAGCATAATTAGATAATAGGCGTGGTTCAGTTCCAGTTGCATGGAAATGCTTAACAAAAAGGCTATAAGGCTTGGCTTAAAATATATCTCTGAAGATTGGGATTTAAAAGTAAGTAATCGGCTTCTGATACTGTACGGAGAAACTCAATAATGAAACAATGAATAGTTACTTATCTAGTATGTTTGATCTCAATAAAAGAAGTTGATTGCAGGATTTCATCATGAGCTGACATTAGTTAGAGAACCATTGGAAAACCTGGGAGTACTGGACAGCTGTTTCGTCCTAGTTTGGGACTATTCAGCAGTACGCACCCACCGGGGTTCGAACCCAGGACCTTCTGGTTACAAGGCGAGCTCGCATACCATTAAGCCACTGGGACCCGATCCAATGGCCCATGAATTCTAACTTCTGCCAATTCACGATATAGCTGAAGAGTCCCAAACTAGGACGAAACAGCTGTCCAGTACTCCCAGGTTTTCCAATGGTTCTCTAACTAATGTAAGCTCATGATGAAATCCTGTAACTAATCAAATCCCTACAAACCAACGCTTGAAAAAAAGTTGGAATGAGAGCTTAAGTAAATCACGCATCATATTCAAATCCGACAGGCCATCACGAATATTACTGGATGTAAAGCTAATGTAACTGATGCACATGTTGGTTCTCCAAATCTGAAAGACCTAAGCTAAGCAGCCTACACAATCCAGTCCAGCACTAAGAAACTTCATGTATTCTATCTTGGGTTAAGTGGATAGAGTTTGATTAATTTCAATGTAGATTTAGTCGCGAAGAGTCTCGAAACTAGAATGAAACAGTGTTGTTGTCTAGTGCTAATTGGCTTTAACTAGTTATCTAGATGACTTCTGTTCGTGATGAATTGGACTCTGAAATTTCCTTGTATTCGTTCTTAGTTCACAGCGTCATCAACCTGATTATTGCTAGCCTTCAGTACACTCTAACATATAAATCAATTGTTTATTTTGCAAAGAATACACCGTAGACAGCAGTTAGTCAACAACAACAACAACCACAGGCTAAACTTCAGCACTTATTTTTCACAATACAGTTGCTACACATACCGTGAATAAGCTTTTCTTCACAGTGAATACATATACGAAATACAAACGACGAATGCTGCGTTCGACTTTATTTGGGGGAAACCGTCACCTACTACAACACTGGCACACACACACACAGTTGACGAGTCTCAGGTCGGATGAAATGTTCATCATGCAACCATCAAAAGACGGAGGAATTAAGCGGTGTTGGTGGTTCAACGGTAGAACGTTCGCCAACCATGCACGTGGTTCGGGGGCTTAACGCCTGACCGACGCACTCCTTAACCTCGAGAGGCAGGTAAAAAAGGAGGGTTGGGTGGGGAGCTAGCAACCTCACCCCGTAAAAACAAAACCCCTGCTACAGAAACTTCAAAGCTCTAGCTCAAAGACCCACTTTTCATTCGGAACGTAAAGGAATAAAATAAGTAAATATAATAAAAAATAACAGCTATGAAGTAATCTATACATTAATAGGGCGTCATAATTTCAGAAGTTCATATTTATTTATTTATTTTTATTTGTCCAGTCTACTTCTATCAGTTATTTTGAACGTGTAGCTGAAGAACACATTCAAAATGCTATAGAACGTGGAGAATTTAATAATTTATCTGGACAAGGTCGTCCACTTGATTATAATAAAAATTTACATGTTTTTGGTGATTCAACTGTTACCCGTGTCAATCAACTATTAGCTAATCAAGGCTTTTTACCGAAATGGGTTCTACTAAATAAAGAGATAAATTCACGTTGGAGTATTGCATTTAATAAATTAAAGTCCATTTACAATACAGAATGCAATGTAAATTCTTCAGCATGGCTAAAAGCTTTTCAGGTAAATCAATCTTGTTTTTTTTTTAGAATATGCATTTATTTAAAATAAGACATTCGTTTTATGTATATTATAGGTACAAATTAATAGTGTCTTGTTCATAATGCTATTATCGATTTTGAAGGAAAACGTCAGAAGTGGCAAAAGGGTAAAGGAAATTCAGTGGAACAGCTGCACCTCATTCAACTGAAAGCGAAACCAAGCTTGCATTTATAAAATGAAAACTACTGAGATCATTAATTGTGCACGAAAAATGATGTGAGCAGCAGGACAATTTGTAGTCTTAACTGATGTGAGCAATTTACCTCTAGTCAAACTAATTCATGGTGTTTTCTATTCATATACGTTCACATCATACTTATTATGGGGACTGATGATAGATAAGGTCTTAGTGCAAACTTATGGATAGAGAATCGGACAGTAGGCGACGGAACCATAGATGTATTACTTCTTAATCAAACTGGCTTTCATTCATCTTAAACAGTTCAGGTTTGTGTGACTGATTCAGTCCTACACGAGGTGTGAAAATATACCACTATTCATACTTTGGACCTCGTATTATTCTGTTTATTAGTAGTCCTTCCAACTAGTCAACAATAATGAAGGCTGGTTTGATTTTCGAAGTCCACCGAAAAGCATAACTGCTTAAACAGATGTTTGGCTGGATGGGATCTGTTTAGGTGGCGTTGCTGATTCGTGTGAAAGGCTTACAAAAGCTAGCAGTACATAGAATTACCCATACATTTAACCGTTCTTAAATAAGATTCAAAAGTGAACGAAAGATTCGTCTTAGTATAGACTAAACAGTAACTTAAATTCAATCTTAAAAATTGGCTGTGTGTGTGTGTGGTGGCGTTCGCCTGCAGTCTAGTAGAACAGACTTCTGGTACATGGGAACTCATGTTGACTGAGAGACTGCTTTGAGCTTGCTGACCTGAAAGCTAGAAAAAGTATTGCTTCACTAGACACACACCATGGAAAATAATTTATAAATAGACACAATAGTATTGTGGCTGTCACCAACTGGGAAATGTACAAGGTGGTTGACAATTACTTACAGACAGCTTACATGACAACTGTATTAAGAGACAAATCGGAATGCTGTTTAAGCCCATGATAAATGCCAAAAGAGATATTTAGGACTTATGAAGATGCTCGTCCGCAATCTTACGCGTATAAACTAACTGGAACTAGGTACGTCCATGCATTGTTCATCTTGGGTGCTATTGAAACGAGGGAAACCGCTCTCAACCGCGAAGACGCGTTCACTCTTCGTCATCTCCTACATCTTTCAATTCCTCATTATTCTCCATGTAGTTATTCTCTCTAGCGTACACTTCTACTCAGTAGAATGGCTATTTCGAAGATTTCCCCGTCTCCTCCACCTTCGTGTGCTGTATGGATTGTAGAGACTTCAACTTCTTCACTTTCGTGCAAACTTCTGCGTCGGAAATTCACCTCAGTTGACAAGAGAATTTACTCTCCTCTGATGAACACAGGAGAATCAGCTCGACTGATTTACTTACTACCTGAGATATAAGAGCCAATAGTCATGCAAAGACTGAACACACCTCTGGAAACAAACCCAAGACAAACGAGCAGATTTCGGGCTCAGATGAGAATGCATTGGTCAAAACTTCACACTTCGAAACACAGACATCACAGAATCCCACATTCGCCTCATTTCACTATCTACCAAGGCGACTTTGACTACATCGATTGACAGCTTTCTTGCTATGTCCAGCTAACAACCGAGTGCTGAGTGTGGAATGCTTACAATATTTAGTGCCTTGCTCAAACTCACCCAGATGTGAAAGACGACAATGAGAGATGGCATCTGATATGAAGACAGACAACCAGTAGTACTCTACTCGTCAGGGATCCCGTCTCACCGTCCTTATTCAATCCCATCGTAAACTGACTAATGACTGAGACTCTGGTCAACTTCAATCGATTGACTCCAAGGATTGACATGCTCCTTACTACTAGGGAAGAGTTTGCTTGATTTAGAGTGTGCAGACACACTGACAAAATGGAATATTATAAACACTGAGTATCTTTGATATACAACTCGACCCTGTTTAACTTAAGATAAGGCAGAAGGATTGTATTCTTGAACCGGAATAAAAGTGGTCTGCCTACGATCACCGATGATCTCTCTGACCATGGTAGGGTGGATCATTCATCAGGTTGTGGAGAGCGAGAAGACGGGCATGTGGCAGACTCATGAAGAGACCCCGTGAAATTTTGATTTCGTGAATGCTTTAGAATAAAGCAAGAAAAACAGTTTTTGCAGAATAAGATGGTTCCCTTATTTATTTCTCTGGCTTCTCATCATCTGCTTACAGTCTAAAAAGTTAATTAATTTTATGTACAGAACATTTGGTTGTTGACGGAACCATGTTATTGTGCACAAACTGTTGTTTTTGCTAGACTGAGATTCATAAAGGGGGATAAATGCAGGAAGTGATTTGATTCTCATGTCGCACAAACTCGAAAAAATACATGAGAAAACCAACAGGTCTCCAGAAGAGGCAGCGAAGACAGGACTCAAGGTGAATAAAGAGAACAGATGTGACAACTAGTACTAGTCATCAGTGTGAGAAATCAAAATTAAGTCACCTCTTTCACTTTCCCAGATAGCATCGTTTCAACTACAGGCGGCACAAATAATAAGGATGTCGAAGGCAATCAAGATAAAATGGAGAAAGTGAGACAGGAGTCCGTTATTCTGAATTTGGTGTGGAAATCCACTCGACAAGGAACAGAATCCGAATTTTCAACACTGGCGACGATTCAGTTCTTCTGTGTCGTTCAGAGACTTGGTGTGCACGTCACTAAAGGCTACTGCAAGGTTTTGTCAACAGCTGCCTTCGCTCACTCGATGCTCAAGATACGATGGCCAACCGGAAAGAGTAAGCAAGCAACAAGGAACTGACAGCGAACCAACCAAAAGCCTGTTCCCCAACAAATATGAAGAAGGAAATGGAGACGGATCGGAAATGACCTAAGGAGACCTTTCAGTGACATCGCGCGCCGAGACACAGATCTGAATTTGAGTGGGAAGAGACAGACTGGGCGTCTGAGAGTGATATAAAGATCGTGTGAGGAGCCAGTTGAAAGTGATAGTATAGACCTGAGTGCAATGGAGGTGTCCCACTGAAGCCTTATGTTCCACTTGTGATGCGAGAAATGAATGATATGGTAAGTGCTTTGTGTAACATTAAAACAATCAACTCAAATCACCAACTTCTTTAACTTCATTTTTTATAACACTTTTACGGTTTGTATTTCTTCGCAAATAACAAATTTCAGTAAACACATTTAAAAAAAATCAAATTTCTAATAGGATTTCGAGGCAGAAGTGAAAGAATTGAATCAGTTATTGGATCAATACAATCTTATAGTCCCTAGTCATCATATGCAACGGTTTCATTTCAATACTAAATCCATTATCGAACAGTTGATGAAGGCTGAAAATTCACAAGAAGCAGAAGAGAAAAACAATCCAACGAACGATCAGAATGAAAATGATCCACCACCACCACCACCACCACAAAGTGATAATGATAAAAAGAGTTTATGGGACCCACGTTTTATGGCAGAAGTGATGAGCGATTTCTATCGGGAACTGATTAAAGCATATGCAAGTATTATACGAGGATTTAAAGATCATAAATAAAACTGAATGAAGTGGAATACAAAAAATTTATTATAGGCAGAAATACATAATGATATGAGACTCAGATTTCTTGTTTTAAAACGATGAATTTGTCAGTTGATCCAGTGGTAATTCTGAAAATGAGTTGACCATATCCTACATTGTTCATCTACAGGACTAGTATAGCCACTAGGAACAAATGACATAAAAATTAATGATATTACACTGATTGATGTTAGGTGATTGGAGGCAGTGGGCAGAAAGCCATGTACCTAGGTTTCATACTTATTGACTGTCGTCAGCAAGGCTCAGTCACAGACATTTCCACTTAGATACTTAGAATCAGGATTAACCTTCTATAGCAGTGGATACTAAGAAGTAACTAATGTCGTGTCTGGTCATTTATATTGATGTTGCAGCACTAGGTGTCTCTGTCTGGATTCAACATAGAACTTGGCACCGAAGTGCAGCAGTTCGAGTTGCCACGTTCCAAATAGCACACAAAGGTAGACAAGAAGATGAGTGAAGAGAATCAATAGAGTTTTGACAAGTATAAGAGTGAAACAGAATGAGTAATGGTAGAAAGGAATATGAAAGATTACAGAGACTGAATACATCTGCGTAAGCCATTGACAACGATTTTGAGCCATGTCACCTATTGTCTCCAGCCATTGATTCTTAGAGTCCCGAGGGCGGGCCCCAACCCGGAAGTCTGCATCTCCCTACCTGACTCAGTTTAACTGTCAAGGATTTCATGGATTGATGAGGCCATGTTTTTGTTTGGCCACCACTTACTCTTTTCCAACCTGCACCTATATCAGCTAGTAATGCCCGTCGTGGTGGGGGAGGCGATGGTTAGGCATGCGCAGCACGTGACCTAGCCATCTCAATCTATGTAACTTTATAGCCTCTTCGATTGATTTTCCCTCTTTGCCCAACACTCTACGCCTAACGTCAACATTACTTACCTTATTATGCCACCTAACGTGAGAAAGAGATCGTAGACATCTATGATCAAAAACAGTCAACCTTTTCATGTCTTCAACTCGTATTGGCCATGTTTCAGAGCCATAGAGAAGGACGGAGCGAACTGCTGAGCAGTACACACGTCCCTTGGTTGATAGTCGGATGTCACGCCTACGCCAGAGATGGTGTAAGTTAGCGAAAGCAGCTCGAGCTTTTTGGATCCGTGCTGAGATTTCGTCGCCAATCAGTCCGTTGGTGCTGATACAACTTCCCAAATAGGTGAAGTGGTCAACATGTTCTATCACTTCACTCCCTATCACTAAGCTAGGGGTAGACGTAGTCCAGTCCTGTAGCAGCATCTTACATTTCACAGGGGCGAATCGCATGCCAAACATACGAAGATTGCTGCTCAAGGTGTTCAGAAGACTCTGCATTTTGTCAGCATCCTCCCCTAACAGGACTATGTCGTCTGCATATTCTAAGTCCATAAGACTATTCCCTGGTAACAAGTCGATTCCTAAGTCGTTAAGTTCAGTTAAGGATACTTCCATTAGCATATCTATGATGAAGTTAAACAGAAAAGGGGAAAGTGGACATCCTTGACGGACACCACTGGTTGTTATCAATTCAGATGACAATTCCCATAAGCCCTTACACGGCTACGTGAGTTTGAGTAGAGTGCCTTGATTAGTGCAATGTACTTTCTTGGCACTCCTTTCACAGTCAAACATTGCCATAGTACCTTTCGATCCACGGAGTCGAAGGCCGCCTTCAAGTCAAGAAATATGGCAATTGTTGGACGCCTAAAAGTGTGTCTATGTTCTAGAATCTGTCGGAGAGTGAAGATATGATCTATGCACCCTCTACCTGGCCTAAAGCCTGCTTGATTTTCCCTCGTTTGTTCCTCCCGAGTTCGGCTTAGTCTGTGCATGATTACTGAGCCTAGGATTTTAGAAACTATGTTCGTTAGGCTGATCCCCCTATGATTATCACATGAGGACTTGTCTCCCTTCTTGAATATTGGTATAATAAGTGACTTACCCCAGTCTGATGGAACCGTCTCTGATTCCCAGACGTTGCCTAGTACCTTAGTTAATCTACATACTAGTATGTCACCCCCATATTTAAACACCTCCGGAATAATTCCGTTGGGTCCTGCCGCTTTGCCTCGTTTCAAATTACAGATAGCTTTTGTGACCTCACTTACAGACGGCGGACCAGTGTCTATATCCCATTTGGGTGTGTGCTGGATGGCGGGGAGGTTCAGTGTGGCTGTAGACAAGTTAAATTGTTCCTCAAAGTGTTCTTTCCAGCGTTCAAGGCGTCTATCCTGAGAGCTAATTAAGGAGCCATTTCTCTCGGAAATAGTCTCACTTATGATTTACCTTCTTCCACCCGTTTCCCTGATGAGTCTAAAGAGTTGCCTATCGCCGATGCTTTTTCCATGTCTCTCGCCTTTGTCACCCACCACTGTTCACGGTCCTTTTGGAGACTTCATAAGTTTCCTTTTATGCAGCTTTCGCTCCTCATTGAATTCGGAGCTCGCCGGAATAAGTCTTCTAGCATCTATCAGTTCGGATGAGGCAGTCGAAATCCAATGGTTTTTACTCACCTTTGGATTTACCTTATTCACAGCTTTTACAGCTGTATCTATGGCTGACTGAATATTCTTGCAGGCTTCTGCAGAGTGAGCACAGCTGTTGAACTCAGATATGTGTTTAGCTAGTTCTTCCTCAAATAGGGACTTAGTTTCCTGATCGAGCTGGGAGCGTGATGGGTTTACCGACAGCTGTTTCCTACGTCCGTTCAGTCGTAAGCACACACGAGCGCGGACCAGTGCGTGATCGGTATCTACACACGTGTTCCAGAAGGAGCGACAATCTCCTACTGACCCACGCCAACGATAGCTTATTGCTATGTGGTCTATTTGTGTCCAGGGTTGGTTTGATGATGGGGGTCGCCAGGTCAAACAGTGTCTCTCCTTGTGTTTGAAGTTAGTGCTTACAACAAACAAATGATTATCTGAACAGAACTGTAGGAGACGGTCACCGTTGTCGGTTCGCTGGCACGGAATTCCGTATGTGCCACCGACATTCTTCTCAGATTGACACAATTTCCCTACTTGAGCATTAAAGTCACCAGCTAAAACGACTATATCTGAGCGTTTAGCCTTTCGCAGCAAACTAGACAGCTTTTGGTAAAACTCATCCTTTGTTTCATCCGAACTGCAGTCAGTGGGGGCGTAGGCGGAGATTACGAAAAGGCATCGGCGGGCAGTGCAGTCCTTTCTCCTTTTCACTGATCCGTTCAGGCGGACAGCACACATTCGGCTATCTACCGGGATCCAGTCAAGTAATGTCTTTTCTGCTCTAGTACTTAAAGCTATCCCAACACCACCTAATCCTCGTGAGCTAGCCGTCGCATCCCCTGACACCCTCAAGGTGAATTTTGCAGATTCATCCTGTTGGCCAGGTGGGGTTAGGTGAATAACCACACTTGGGTCTTGTATGCGTGTTTCTGAAACACAACATACATCAATGGCTCGGGATGCCAGAGTCTTGGTTAGTGATGCTTGTTGTCCTATTTGGCAAAGTGTCCTAACATTAAATGCTCCTATATAAAATTGGTGGCGTGGTTTTAGGAGACCATCGGTGGTGGCTTTTTGGCTTCCATCGTTTTCAGTGCACACAGAGTGAAGAGGAAGTGAAGGGCCATTAAGTAGAGGAGTTGCATTAGTAGAAGGAAGGCAAGATAATAGAGATGAAGATGAAGACAAAGATGAGCGAGGATTAGAGAGGTTTCGCGTGCACTTCGGATTGTGAGGGCGATTGTTACTTCCCGGCTGCCCACACCGTGGAAGTTGGTTGCGTGACCGCAGAGCCCAGGGGACAACTGCTTGAGGCCGGTCACACACGTGGCCTGTTTTTGTCTGTTCTTTTTTATTTGGTGTGTCTCAGTAGCGTATTTATCACTTCTGCTCTGTGACACGGCAGCAGGAAGCGCGGTCGTTGTCAATCCGGGCCCCGACCGATCCGGCATGATATTTTGTGATTTACTTTGAGTCATAGCATTGGATTGGGTAACTGCTTTTTGTCTAACCGCTATCCAAACAACCTTTCTGGCATGGTAGGACCTCAAGCGACATAAGTCTCAGCCAGTATAGCTTGTTGGATCATTGCGGTGTTCAAGTCCGACCACCACGTCAAGGTAGCAGCTTTCGGTCGGGTGACACCGATTCGAGTGTTCGAAGTTGGAATCAGTTCTTCAAGGGGTAGAGGATACGCATTATTGACGACTGCCGATAGTTGCAAAACCTAGGTCCAAGACTTCCTATCACTTGCCCCTATCCACCTAACACCATCTCAAATTTCACAGTGATGGCGAGTTACCCAACCAAGTGACTACATTGCCAACTTCACTGGTAGAATTCAGTCAGTGCCAAGACTGGACACACGACACTGGTTACTCCCTACTGTTTATTCAAAGAATATTACACTAATCTTTATCACAACAAATGATCATTGAATAAACAACAACAGTTATAGTTACTGGATAGGTGTTTTGTCTTTTGTTCAACTTATCAGTTGCACTGAAACCATTATTAACTACCTAACATTCACTCACTCAATGTACACATCAGATGTTTTAGTTCATCGACAATTCTGTGCTTTTTGGCAATTTGTTTTGAAGATGAAATGTTGGTTGTTTCTTTATGCGATAAAAAGTTCTCTGAAAGGTGGGATAAAAAAAGATGTCGCCTGAAATATTGATGGTGATCAGTTGTTATTACTGTATGATCATGATACAAGAGATTCGACGAAAGTAACGATGGTCAGACAAGCAGATTCCTCGATTCGGATAGGCCAGATCTCAGAGACGTTGAGCAAAACTGAGAGGATGGAAGCATTGTAAGCCTAGTATTTGACGGTCATGCTAACGTCGCGAATAGGCCAAAAGTACGCCAGGATGGCACATTCCAAGCTCATAGATCTCAGTCCTTAGAACCCCATAGGTGAAGGGAGTAGAATAAGGCTTTACCTGACAAAGGCTGTGCA